TGTTCGAGATTCTCAAAAGCATTCAAGTCAACCAGGAGTTTGTCCCTTTGTTGGTGAAGAGCTCCATTCCCTGGAAGACCGATTTCTTCACTGAGAGCCGATACTCTGGTACGAAAAGTCACTGGCTATGCCAGTGTCCCAAATATGCCATTGCTAGACTGCATGTTGTTTGTTCAAGATGTTGTTTTCAGACTGAAATAAATATAAACTTAAAGACTTCCTCCAAACTTCATGCTTAGTAAACTTACCAGATTTTTGTGTATAAGTAAGGGTAGGGGGGACACAGAATCACAGCTGTGGCTTGGGGGAACTTGGAGTTGGTTGGCAATGTGTTGCCAGTTGGAAGATTAGAGGGTAAAAAACTAGTAGATCAGTATTCTATCCCCACCCCCAAGTTTTGTTTCATTTTTATTTTATGATTCAGTCCAAGGTTGAGGCAGTTTGGAGATTGAGATGGGACCTGTTATTTCTACTTTTAAACTCTCATGTCTAAATGAAAGAACTCAGGCTCTATAACCATGTTGTATAGAGGCTGGTGATACTCCTGACTTCTCTTTACCTCTTTTATGTCTCTGCTGTTTTTCAACCTTCTTTTTAAAATGTGATGACTGTTCCTCCAAATATTTAGTAATTACAAAGGGAAAAATAGTAAATTTACAGGGGAGAGTTCTGGAAGACATCATCTTGGCCAAGCAATCTAGGTTCACATCAGCAGTAATACAAACAACAGTGTATACCCCCTGATAAAGATGCACTGAGAAGGGGACATCAGACAAACTCAAGCTGAGGCACATTCTATGAAACAACTGGCCAGTACCCTTCAAAAGTGTCCAGATAGCCCTGGCTGGTGTGACTCAATGGATTGAGTGCCAGCCTGTGAATCAAAGGGTCGCTGGTTCCATACCCAGTCAGGGCGCATACCTGGGTTGTAGGCCAGGTCCCCGGTGGGGGGCATGTGAGAGGCAACTGCACATAGATGTTCTCTCCCTCTCTTTCTCTCTCCCTTTCCTTCTCTCTAAAAATAAGTAAATAAAATATTTTTTTAAAGTGTCGAGATAATGAAGAACAATGAAAGAATGAGGAACCATCACAGGTTGGAAGAGAGATACAATTAAATACAATGTGGAATCCTGAAATTTAAAAAGTATATTAAGGGAAAGAATTGGTTAAAAATAAATAATTTATACACTTCGGTTAATAGTATTATACAAGGTTAACTTCTTAGTTTGTTAATTATTGTATGGTTATGTAAGATGTTGACAGGTGGGTGAAGGGTGTCTGGAAAATATTTTTGGAAATCTGAAAATTTATAATATCTCAAAATAAAACATTTTTAAAATTGTAGTGACACAAATTGTACCTACTCTCCAATAAGGGTGATTTAAAAATTACTTTTCTGAGGAAGACAAGAAGAGTATTTCCCATACAGTTGTTATATTTACTTTAATTTTTTAGTTATTTTGTTATTATATATTGAATAGATATAAAGTTTATAACATGTTTAAGCTGCAAAGGGTAACAATAACATGAGCACACATGTAGCTTGAAGCTCTCAGTGTACTTTTTCCCATCCCATCGCCTCCCTCTCCCTCACCTCTATTCCAAATTTTATATTGTTTGTTCCCTTGCTTCTCTTTAGAGACTTTCCTTGAAAGTACTATCCCTAATAGTTTCGCATGATCTTTAACTTTATGTAAGTGGAATAATACTGTACATATTTTTGCAGTTTGTTTTCCTAAAACTTATATTCTGGAGATTTAACAGTGTTGATGTGTATAACTGTAGTTCACTCACCTTCACTGTTATGGAATTTTCATTGTATGAACACAACCACAAGTTATTTCTCTGTTCTCCATTGATAGCCATCTGGTTGACTTCAAGTTTTGCTGCTCTGATCAGCGCTGCTGCACACACCCTTGTATATACCACATGATGAGAGTTTCCCTAGGGCATCTACCTAAAAATGGACTTACAGGGTAAATGCTGGGTAGTAGGCTAAATGCTCCATCTACTTTACTAGATAATGAGGCCAAATTGTTTTCCGAAGTGGTTATCTAATTTTCAATACCACCAACAGCGTGTAAGTGTTCCGGTAGTTCCACTTGCTCTCTAACACTCTATTATAGGCTTTGATCTTTTTTACCAATCTAGCAAGCATGTATATTAAAATTTTAAAGCATTGCCATTTATTGATTGATTGCTTCATGCCAAGCAAAGTGACAGACATGTTCATACCTTATTTAATTTAATCCTCTCACAGCTCTTCTTCTAAGTCCCATATGGAAATTAGTGTTGTTCTTAGTATGTAATACATAATTATCCCTAAACCTCTCTCTGAAAAATTTATTTCTTAGTGGGTCTTTTATATTATGTATCTGCCTAGTTTATTTCCTACTTCCTAAAAACATTCTCTTTTTAGAAGAAACTTGAGGCATGAAGTAGTCAATAACTTGCCCCAAATCACATTGTCATTAGTTGGTAGCAGACTTTGAAATAAAAACCCATTCTCTAGCTACCTTTTTTTTTCCTTCTTGCTCTGTCTCTTCCCCTTTCCCTCCCATATATCTTCCTCCCTTCCCTCACATTCTTCCATCCCTCTTCTGGGATTGACAGTTTAAATGCACTCTCCAGTCAGTTGTTATTTAATGTGATGTGCCTGCAAGAGAGTGTCACAAGATTGGATGAGTGCCTGGTTCTGACTAAACAGTCATTACTCAGGCCCCCACTGACTAAGTGCTTTGTAACCATTTCACACTCCAAGCTGTGCTACTGGGTGGATTTGGCCAGACTACCCTTTCAAAACTGCTTGATGGCCCTGTAGGTGTTAGAGAGAATCCAGAACTTCAGGACATCCTTTGTCAGCAGCAGTAGGAACCCCAAGCCTACTATGGGGTGCAGGCAGCTAAGAGTAGGACTGGTGCCTAGAGAATGGTGATATTAGAACCACTAACATTGGGCAGGAGACCACAGATTCTATTGGCAGAAGCAGTAGAAACCTTAGGTTGGGTACCAAACTTGTAGCTAACAAGCACAAGTGAAATTTGTTTGGCTTGCACAGTATTTAATTTTCTTTTTTGCATTTGGATACTTTTATAGAAGGCATGCACTCGCCAGTTTGTCACAACACCCAGCACTTCATTCCCTACTGTTCAACACCTAACTGTTATTACCTCCCTGGCTCCTAACGTTATTTGACGCAACAGTATCCTCACTGAAATGACTTGGGGCTCACTGAGGGTAAAACTGGAAGCTCATTCTCATTCCAAAGTGATCATAGTTGTTCAGGGATTTATTGGGTTGTTTTTTTTTTTTCTGACAACTGAGCATCCCTTTGTTTCCTGGTAACACCTTTTTACTTAGACATTACACTTCCCTCAAGATTATGATCTTTCTCTCATCTAATCGTATTTGGGATGATTAGATGAAAATTCCTGTAAAGCTTTCAAATCTTGGTTTATCTAAACTTAGTGAATTAGGAGACATGAAAGAAATCAATGAACTAAAGTAGGTGTACTTGTCTGGTCAGGATAGAGGCGTGGGTAAACACGGCTTGCCTCCTGGCACAACCAGGAATCAAAATTACGACTAAACTGTAGAACAGCCATCACTCTGAACTGTCAGAAATCGAGTCAAATGGAAGTTTGACAACTCTGGGATTAAAGAAACCACATCCATCCAGATGGGTAAGAGACATGGAGATGCAGAGGGGTCCAGTCTCATACCTACATGTGTCGGATAAAAATTCGGCAGAGCTATCTCAGGAGCAAGGAGTCCCAGCTCACACTAGTCCCCCTACCAGGCTTCCAGTGCCAGGAAAATAAGTCCCCCTAACTTCTGGCTGCAAAAAACCAGTGGGATTGAGTCAGTGGAAGAAACTTCTAGAGTCCAAGCAGTTCCTTAAAGAACCCACACATGGACTTACTCAGACTCACTCCCTCTGAGCTCCAGCACTGGGTTAGCAGCTTGAAAGGTACCAGTGCCATATGAAGAGAAAATGAAGTGTCTGGCATCAAGGTGAGAGCTAGGAGCCAGCTTTCTCCCAGACAGAAAGACAGGCAGAGGCCATTGTCCCTTTTCTCAACCCTGCCCCCCACAAAGCCACAGAGCTGCCAGGCAGGTGCCATATCTTAGAGTCTATCACCCTGGCTAACACCATTTGCCCTGCCCTGGAGATCCCCCAAGACTGCCCCACCCAACTTAGCAGCCCACTCAAGCTGTTAAAAGTGGCTTTTCCATATAAATGGCTTGGTCTTGGCTCATACTTCACAACTTCCTAAATCCTCCCAAATAAGCAACAGCCAGCCTCAGTGAAACCCCAGCCCCTGTACTAATTGCTAAGTGACCCCAGGTCTGGCACTAGCAGCAGCCAGCCTACATTCAGAGCAAGGCTTCTCCTGGGAATCTTCAAGCCCAGCACAAGTAGCAGCCATCTCAGATTGCTTTATAGCTCAGGGTGGCCCTGGGAAGAACATAGGTTGGGCTGACCTTGGCCTGCACCATCCAGGAAAACCCAGAGCCCACACACCCCGTGGACAGCTACAGCCACGTTGGAGCACTGCCACCCTGCCCCTGCACAGCTGATCCTCCACTGTGGGCAGAGGTTGGTGGGTGGAGGCTGCAGCGGACTGACCTGGGTAAATCCATCCCATTGATAGCCAACAGCAGTCAGGACACAATTACAAGAGGAGGTGTAAGCCCAGAACTGCATTAAAAGATCACCCAATAATTTCTTTTACCTGTTTCCAAGTTTCAGATAACTTTTCTGATAGGTTGTAGTCATCAGTTTAGACTTAGTTGCCAGGAATTGGAATCCGTTTCCCAAGCTTTGAAAGCTTTATTTGGAGGACATATGAAATTAATTCTAAAATTTAGCATATGGATCTTAGAGTCAATTATTTCCAATTTCAGAGATGAAGTTCCAAGTTTCTTAAGAACATGTTTAAGTGAGCTGATAATGGCGTGAGAAATTCTGATACTGAATCATTTTACTGTTTTTACAGAAATTCGATCAAGTCATAGTGGGTACGACTCTGCAATGTTTTTGTTGAGAAGCCAGAGCCAGGAAACACAAAGTGGCGGTAGGTGAACTCAGTACAAGATGTCTAAGTCTCTACGTCATTATGATTGCCTCCAGAAGGGGGTGTGTGTGTGTGTGTGTGTGTGTGTGTGTGTGTGTGTGAAAGATAAACAGACTGGCCAGCCTACTAGACTGTCAATCCACCAAACATCTGACCAGGAAAGGAGATATACTTGGCAGAAGTAACTACTCATACTTTGTACTTGCTAGTACAAGCCCTACTGTTTTGTCATCTGAGAATTCTAACTGGAGTAGTTACAATCTCTCATCTTTTGTACTTTTATTTAGAAGTCCACTGGGAAAGCATGTGTTCCTTTTTCTCTCCCATCCTTTACTACTACCCCCTGCTAAAAAGAAGTGGTCAATGTGAAGAGAAGCTGGCAAGGCAGTTAAGGTTATCCTTTGCAGTGTTTTTGTGGCCTGAGCAAATGGATCTGGCCATGGTGTTGGGGACTATATTCATACTACTTCAATGCTTTCCTTCAGTGAATCGAAGTACTAAAGGGAACTGGGGTAATCACATCCAAGCCAGCTTTCAGAATAAAACTGTATGACATGAAATAAAATGTTGTGACATACATTTTGAAAAACAAGCCAGAATGTGGTTCTGTATTTCAGCTGTCTTTTCAGGAGTGGAGAAGGTGCAGATGATGGAATTAGGTCACTGATTTAAGGCCACACTGTACCTTCTTTCCTTTCTGTCGTGGTGCAGTTGTCTCACTCCTGGAGGGAGCCCGTTCTCAGGGCACAGACCCTGGCTCCAGGAAGAAATCTACTCACTCCGAGGGTACAGGTCGTAGTTCTAAGAAGAGAAAGCCAGTGAACTCCCAACCAAGGGAAAACCTGGGAGTTCTCTCCTGTACTCATAACTGGTAAAGGAGAGAGGGCTGATGAAAATAAACTAACTTACCAATTTCTCCTGCATGTTCTTATGAACAGAATAATATCTGAAGAGCAGAATACTTTAGGGAATAGTAAGTTCAAGGCAAACGAAGAATGCAGTAATCATCAAGAAAGACTGATTTGTTTATTATACAAATACTTATTGATCATGAAATGACTTCTGGTGACTGTGCTGAAAAACTAGACAGAATCCCTACTCTTATGGAGATCATAGTTTAGTGAGGGATAGCCTTTAAATAACAACACATTAAATACTAGCACAGAGAAATATCAAATTATATCTATAATAAGTGCTATGAAGAAAGATCACATGGGAGCCCTGGCTGGGTGGCTCAGTTGGCTGGAGCGTCGTCCTGTGTACCAGGGGGTTGCAGGTTCAATCTCAAGTCAGGACACATATGGGGTCAACCGATCGATACCTCTCTCACATTGATGTTTCTGTCTTTCTCCCTCTTTCTCCCTTCCTCTCTCCCTAAATTCAGTGAATGTATCCTCAGGTGAGGATTAAGATAAAAGAAAGATTATATGGCAGGCAAAGTGGTTAAGAACATGGATTCTGAAGCCATACTATCATGGTTTGAATCCTAGTTCCACCACTTTCTCTGTTATCCTGGGTACATCTCTTAATTTCTCTATGTTGCAGTATCTCATCTATAATATGAGGCCAATAACAGTGCTACCTCATAAGGATGATGCGAGGATTAAATGTGGTAATACTTATAAAACATTCAGGACAGTATCTGGCACAGGATAAATACTAGGTAAATATTTGTGTCAAAAAATATCTATGAGAGCTCGATGCTTTGTTCAGGAAGAGTATTAAGAATGTGAATATTTATGAGTCATCTCAAAAATCAAAAGTTTTACCAATAAAAAATACCACATTTTGCCATGTATAACATGTACCTTTTTGCCCAAATTTTTTAGGGAAAAGTAAGGATGCACATTATACATGGGCATAATGATTGCCGTATCATGGGTATAATAATGGTATAATAATCCCATGTATAATGCGCACAAAAGTGTGCGTGCGCATTATGCACAGGAGTGCATTAGACATGGCAGGATTCAGTACTTGAAACCAGTTTTCCTGGCCTAAATCCCTTCAAGTGTGCTAGGCCTACCTACTGCAGCAGAGTTGTTGCTTGTGCTGTTTTGAGCAGTGAGCAATTAATTAATGCTGGTTTATCCAAAATGTCGACCTATTGATGTGAGTCCACAAAATAACAGTAGCAAACCCAGTAATTTGGCAGTTACCTCTGCCCTCTTCTAGGACATCAGCCTGTTCTGGTTGGAAAACTTATGGTCCATAGAGTGAATATTGACTGGTTCCAGCATCTCATTTAACTACCCTCTCTCCTCTCTATTTTGTCATTATTTCTGAGTTCAGGCTCTCATCACTTGACGTGCTGACTATTGCAGCAATCTTTTAGGTGGTCTTTATGTCTGAAATCTGTTCAGAAAGATATTAATCTTTCTGAAATTCTGGTTTTATCACTTTTTTCCTGCTCAAATCTTTCTGGGATTCCCTGTCAGCTACTAGATAAAATTTAAGGTCATTAGCCTAACATTAAAGGCCTCCTTTGGGCTCTTCTTACATAGCATATGATCATATAACTTATCTAATCTCAGTGCCAAACCTTTCATTAAGTCCTTCTTCCTGCCTGGATACCTGTCCCCTTGTATAATGAATCTACAAGGTCTATCCAGAAGGTATCCAGCCATGTAATATGAAAACTAGAGACATTTACTAAAGAAGATACAAGATACAATAAATATTGTACATAGGACAATGATGCCTCACTCCTCTTCAAAGTAGGTACCTTGGGACCTCATGCAGTTCCAATCGTCATTAGCTGCCCTGTCATATTTTCCTGAATCTCATCAATGGTCTGAAATCTCTTCTCTTTCAAAGGTGATTTTAGTTTTGGGAAAAGCCAGAAGTTTCAGGGCACCAAATCTGGGCTGTATGGGGGCTGAGTCACCTAGGTGATTTGATGTTTCACCAAAAAACTCTGCATGAGATGTGATGCGTGAGTGGGTGTGTTGTTGTGATGAAGCTGCCATTCACCAGTTGCCCATAGCTGTGACCTTCTGAATTATCCCAATAGTTCTCCTGGAGGAATGTTCAAGCGTAACGCAAAATTTGATGCAGATTCATTGCTGTACTGGCTCAGTCATTTTGAGTGTGACAACCACACAGTACACATGGTCACTCAACAGCGTCACTAACTAGTACAGTGAAGTCATCATTGTTCACACATACCCATTCCAGTCCACTTTCCTTGGCTTCCAAGTTACATCAATGCCCTGCAAACGGTTCTCATTATATTGACAATGGCTGGACATTTTCCGGACAGACCTCGTATATTCATCTTTTAGGTTTAATGCAAGTTCTCCATGAAGCCTTCTCCCAACACTTTTAGCCACCAGCTCCCCAATCCCTACCATTATCTTCCTTTCTTAAATTCCTGTAGTGTTTGGTTTCTAGTTTTTTTAAAAAATAGCCTTACTGAGATATAATTCACATGCCATAAAATTTTTCCCTTTTTGAAAATTACTTTATTGTTGTTCAAGTACAGTTGTCTACATTTATCCCCCACACCAGCCATACCCACCTCCCTCCCCTGCTTCCCACCTGCCTTTGGTTTTGTCCATGTGTCCTGAAAACCCTTCCCCTCTTTCCCCCCAATTATCCCCTCCCACCTCTCCTCTGGTAACTGTCAGATTGTTCTTAATTTCAATGTCTCATTATATTTTGCTTGCTTGTTTGTTTTGTTGATTAGGTTCCACTTAAAGGTGAGATCCTGTGGTATTTGTCTTTCACCACCTGGCTTATTTCACTTAAGGTAATGCTTTCCAGTTCCATCCATGCTGTTGTGAAGGGTAGGAGCTCCTTCTTTCTCTCTGCTGCATAGTATTCCATTGTGTAAATGTACCATAGTTTTTTGATCCACTCATTTACTGATAGGCACTTGGCTATTGTAAATTGTGGTGCCATGAACACTGGGGTGCATAGGTTCTTTTGAATTGGTGTTTCAGGACTCTTCAGGCATAATCCCAGCAGTGGAGTTTCTGGGTCAAAAGGCAGTTCTATTTTTAGTTTTCTGAGGAAATTCCATATTGTTTTCCACAGTGGCTGCAACAGTCTGCATTCCCACCAGCAGTGTACTAGGGTTTTCTTTCCTCCACAGGCTTGCCAGCAGTTGTTGATTGTTGATTTGTTTATGATGACCATTCTGACTGGTGTGATATAGCATCTCATTGTGGTATTAATTTGCATCTCTCTGGTGGCTAGTGATGCTGAGCATCCTTGCATCCTTTCATATGTCTCTGGGCCCTCTGTATGTCCTCCTTGGAGAAGTGCCTGTTCAGGTCCTTTGCTCATTTTTTAATTGGATTTTTTATCTTTCTGTAGTGGAATCATGTGAGTTCTTTAGATATTTTGGAGACCAACCCTTTGTCCAAGGTATCACTTGCAAATATATTTTACCATAAAGTTTGTTCTCTTTTCATTTTGCTGATGTTTTCTTTTGCTGTGCAGAATCTTTTTATTTTGATGAAGTCCCATTTGTTTATTCTCTCCTTTATGTCCCTTGCTCTAGGGGACATATTGGTGAAAATATTGCTGTGTGGAATATCTGAGATTTTCCTGCCTATGTTCTCCTCTAAGACGTTTATGGTGTCACAACTTAACTATAAGTTGCATTTATAAATATAATTTATATTTAAGTTGAGACACCATAACAAATAAATACCATATGATCTCACCTATAAGTGGAACCTAATCAACAAAATAAACAATCAAGCAAAGTATAACCAGAGATATTGAAATAAAAAGGAAACTGATGGTGGCCAGAGGAGAGGGAGTAGGGGGATAATGGGGAAAAAAGGGGAAAGTGTGTCAAGGAACATGTGTAGGGGACAGACACATGGACAAAGCCAAAGGGGGTAAGGATTGAGGATGGGGGTACAGATGGGTGGGGTGGGGGTAGTGTTGGGGGGAAAATGGGGACAACTGTACTCGAATAAGTACTATCTATTTAAATATATATGTATATATATTTTATTTTATACTTTGATTTCATGTTTACACAC